TATGAGTGAATTAAGCCGACTTAACCTCAGGAAATCAGCAACGGGCTGTCCGGATTCTTCATCAGCATTGTAAGTAGTATGTTCCTAAGTGCTTTTGCGTCCCAGTTGAATAAAAACATCTTAAATGTCGGTTAGTCTCCGAAAGTGAGGCACAACTCAGCGCCAAAAGTTTAAACGGTCCAGGTAGCCCGTATCAGAGACGGCAGCGGAATATCAAACCCCTCATTTCAAGGATCACATATGTCTGGCGACGTATCACGGATGGTAGGTCAATGAGTAATGTTCTCTTATAAATATCATTGGCAATATAGTGACCGAGTATTTTCGTAGAAACCTTCGATTTTGTTTTACCTAAAGATCATCGGATCAATGAAAGATCTGCGGCGGTGCATGATGAACACACCAACTATTTACGGAAGTTTTGTAAAGTAATGCGTATTTCCTTGTTCTTGTTCCTTTACTGAGGAAATTTGTTCCATATATGATCATTTCCTTTCACTCCTTTACTTCACTAGGCGATGAATCACGCTCCGTCTGGCGTGGGAAAGTAGGAATGGGGCGGATTTGTTCCTATATGCTCAAACGTTGCAAGTCACAAAAAACAAACATGGTGCAATTTATCAGCTACAGGCAAGACAGGGGATGAGGAGTGTATTCTTTATTCTCACTCATTAGCACCGCTTCAAATAAGTTTCTTAGTGTGATCTTAAAAACGTCCAAAACGCACAAAAAACGGCTAATTGAAGTCAAACCGGTGCTCCAGAATTCCACTACTAAAAAACGGAAACCAGTCGGCTAGTACGTATTATGGACTTCTATTAGGCAGAGGTTCGGTGTACCGAGGTTCACCAGAATGTTTGAAAAGACAAAACGCAAAGCGTGGGAAACACCATGAAGATCTGTCTTGATGATATTTTGAATACATGTTGGTATTTCGAGGAAGAACTTAATTGATGTATCATCTGAGGGAGAGAGGCTTCCAACACAGAATGACTTGACGGCTCGAAAAATCGCGGATGAGCAGAACTGTATTTTGGCGCACTTCCTTGAACGCGCAATAACAAAACTGCTTAAAAGCGACGGAAAGATCAGCACATATTAACCGCAACAAGGTCTCGGACAAGCACCTACGCGAGTGGTGTGTGCCACCTCGGCGACAATCAACCCTCAGTAACACTACTCTATCTGGCGTTTCTAGTGTATGGCCGACGTCCCTGACTCTTGCCAGTCTTGCGGGTATTTTAGCTTTTACCACAATCTCTAGCTTGGGGTATTGCTGGAAACCTTTCTAGACTACGTAACGTCCAACCATTTTCTGATAACAACCAGCACGAATAAGGAACTAGGCTCCTTATAGGCCAACAAATGAAATTGTTTTATCATTCATAGCCCGCAAGGCATTACCAAAATGTAGTGTGTTGTGCGATGCAGTGGCGAAAACTGGGGCGTCCTCAAAAGCAAGTATCTTCTCCTCTCACTCCAAGTCAACGATGTTCTAACTTATAATGTGCCTTTCAATGTCTTCGGCGTTCATCTCCCAAGGGCCTCACTTGGATCCCTCTTATTGTATCCCTTTAAGGCGGAATTATATCTCCAGAAATGTATGTCCCAGGACTAGGGTTACGTTTTGTTCTTGTCAATCTTGCATTCACGTGCTCTTTCCTCATGATGTTTGCCATTTTGCCTGTTCTGTTTACGTTCAACTTGAACAGAACTGTCATCCGAATCTTTGGTCAAACACAATGCTTCTTTGAACAGAACGAAGTGTCAAGCAATGTCGTAGATGACTGTCTAGTAAGCTAAAAAAAATACACGCTTGTTTCAGATTTGGACTTCAGTTTATTCACCGTGTTCTTTGTCACTCTTATTCACTAGCACCATGCTCAGCCTCGTTGCACTCACAAAATCTGACGCATCAAGTTTTAATGCCCCTTGTTTCATGGTCCCCATTTTGACTCATTTCCTGTTAACTCTCAATACGGTGGTGAAGAAAACGCACTCTGCTTATTTCAACGATGGATTTCGGATTCTTCATTAGTGTAGGGGTCACTCATCAGATCACGCGTCACAAACACTCGAACCACGTGACAATTCCTGTCCCACTTGCAACCTTAGCCGACAACTTGTGCACTCATCCATTTTTGTTTACGCGCCTAACACTTACGTAACCCGCCAGGCTTATGAACTTTAACACATCAGGTCAAGTTGTATTCATGTTCGTGCAAGCATCAAACACGAAGGGACACCCCTCTCTTCACACTGCACACAACTGCATACAACTGGGCTCAACATACACACCATTGCGCGCACAGGACAGAAAGTTAACAGAGCTCTGCAAGTCTCCACGGTCAACCAGAGAACACATGTAGCAGCCATACTGCAGAGAAGACACGTCAAGCGTCCGGAACTTCACTCAGGAGCTCTCAACAAATTACCTCAAACGATAAGTCATCATAAGTCATAACTCATCATCATAAGTCTTCACCAAGTGCACCTAACTATTATATTCATCACATTGTAGTAAGACAATCATTTGTCATTGCTTGTTACCTTCTGATAATCAACTTTATTACGTCACAACTAGAGCACTAACAGTAGCATTACATTTCGGAAGACCTCTCAACATCAAAATAAGCCAGAAGTT